CCCAGCTCTGTACGCTACATCCACGGCGGTTTGTCTTGTGTTGCAGAGGTGTAGCACAGCGTCCGCCAGTTCCATCTTAACGCTTGTGGCGGAGGGTGCGCCCACCTCCGCCCCTCTCCCCACTACTCCGCCACTCTCCCGACCTGTCGGCCTGTCTCCGCTCCCCCCATCCGGACGCCATTCCGCACATCTGCACCTCCAGTTCCCCACGCTTCGGACCAGTTTTCCCATTCGGAATGCCTGTTAACTGTTTCTGGAGGGTTTTGCTGGTCTGATGCATTCCCAATGTCGAATCCACCCGTTTGCATAGGCCCAGGGGAACAGTGTGGATACATGGAACGATTAGCATGTGTCTGCACTGTTCGCGTGGGCTGATGCGAACGGGGTGATTCAACGTCGGGAACACATCCGAACTTGTTTGAAGTTCTGATGCGTTTCCCACTTTTAATCACCCTGTTCAAATCAGCCCAGGCGAACAGCGCAGATGCATGCAAATCATTCCATGTATCCACACTGTTTCCCTGGGCCGATACAAACGGGTGGATTCGACATTGGAAATGCATCAGGCCATGTTCTACCGGGAAGTGCGTTCTCATTTTTGCACAATTTCTAGAGTGGCAATATGCTGGCGGGGCCTCAACTTCACTTCTCTTGTTCACACAGCTGAAGCGGCAATACGCTGGCGGGGCCTTGCTTCACTTTGAAACATTTACTTTGTATCGGAGGTGGCCTGAAAAAAAAAACACAGACTGGTCCCCCCAAGGGAGACAGGCCTATAAGAACGGACATTGGTTCAGGCAATCATGGGGAAAAGCTCCCTGCTTGGTGTCCTTCTCTGAAGATGGAAGTCACCAGGATAGAGGTCTTGCACAAGGGCCGAAAAAAACTCTCTAAGAGGCTGTCGTAGAAAATTGGTTGCCGAGGTGTGGAAATGCAGACAGGCCGAGTTAGGCCGCAGTAGAATTAGGAATGGTTCAACGGAGAGAAATGTGTCTGTGTTACTGTAGCAGTAGCTGTGTTGCTTCATATTTCTTGAATAGCGCTTGAGATGGTGATTAAAGCTAGAAAGTAGTAGCTGGAGTAAGGGCCTCGTTAGACACTCCTTACGAGTTCCTTGAGCCACAAGGAAACGTCCTTGTGGTTTTTTAGGGGAATTTGCGGCGTCGTTCCACTCATCCTTGGGGACCTCCCCCGAGGATGTTTCCTTGTGGCTTCCCCGCGGCCATTTTAATACGTAAATTAGCGGCCGCGGGGTTGGTCGGCCTTGGTCCAGCTTCTTTTGTCCGTGTGGAGGCGGTGTGGTCCAGCGACGCGAGGCGGGAAAAGGCATACGGCGGGCGACGCGAAAAGAATTTTAACCCCAATGGCATGGGCATTTGAAATTCGAAATTCGAATGACTTTTGCGACGACGACGAAGACGTGTGGCTGGCGGCTCGAGGACGGCATTCTGCGGAAAGGGGCTCAGCGGCGGCGGAGGTTCCGTCCTGGGGCCGTTGCGAGTGCGCGGGCAGTGTGTGGTGCGTCCATCGCCGTGGACCTTTGCACACGTCGACTGCGCCTTGCTCCTCGTTTCCGTGAGCGAAGGACAGCGAGCAGAGAAAAGGGGCCACTGCCTTTCGACGGACATCTTCGGCTTCTTCGTCAGGTGCGGAAGGACGACACAGACAACAACGGAAAGACGGGACCGTGGGCACGTCGCGGCTATTGAGGGCGGCGCAGAGGGTAGACGTGATGTGTTGACGCGTCGTGAGCTGCAGGCCGTGGCGGCGGCGGTGTCCACGATCGTTCTTCGATGTCAGCAGGAGAGGGCGCTGGGGCGACTGAAGGAGCAGTTGCGCGCGCGCAGACGGAGGACATTGACGCAAGCTCCGGACGATGGGGCCGAATACGTGTCGACGTAAGAGGCTGTTGTTTAGCTGTGCTACGCGTTGGGTTGTGGCGTGATTCCTCGTGCGACGCCACGGTGGTGGGCGAAGCGCAGGACAGAAGGCACGTGGGAAGACCTCAGGCAATGCGACGACGCGACAGACGACTACTTCTGGGATAAGCTCCGAATGTCGCCGCGAGTGTTCCGGAAAATCGCGGAGGCGTGTGCGCCTCATCTTCAGCGGCGGGTGACGTTCTACAGGGAGCCTTTGCAGCCGGACCAGATTGTGGCGTACGCACTGTACAGGTGGGCTTCGAGGGAGACGTACGAGAGCAGCACATGCAACTTCGGGATTGGACGAGCTTCTGGGCTGATTGCCGTCCACGACGTGACTGCCGCGCTGCTAAGGGTATTTGGAGAGAAGATCGTGTGGCCGATAGGGGTTCGTAAACTCGTCGTTCTGCGGGCGTTTGCTGATAAAGGGTTCCCCAACTGCCACGGTTGCATTGATTTTACTCACATCTACGTCGACAAGCCGGTGAACGCTCCAAGCGAAAACTACTACGACAGGACGCACCGTTTCTCCATCGTCGCGCAAGTTGTCGTCGACCTGGGCTGGCGTGTGCTCGACGTGCATATGGGATACCCAGGTAGCTGCCACGACATCAGGGTGCTGCAGTTGTCCAGCCAGTCATTGCGCGCGGAGGAGGGGTCGTTATTCCGTGGTCCCCCCGTGACACTGCCGTTCAGTGTGAAGACGAACGGGTAGCTTCTGGCGGACAATGGCTACCCCCCTTCGGAGTGGATGGTCGTCCCGTACGGAGGCATCAATCAGCACGTCGACGAGGAGTGGTTTGACAACAAGCAGAAGGTGGCGAGGGGAGCGGTGGAGTGGGCTTTCGGCAGGCTGAAGGGCATGTGGCGGCTGTTTTTGCGGACACACAAGACAAACCTGGACACGCTCCCGCAGCAGTTCACCGCCGTGTGCATACTGCACAACATACTGATCGACGCAGGAATCCCCTTCAACGAGAATCTGCTATGGGAGGTCGACGGTAATGGTGTGCGACGTCGTGTGGACCTCGGGATGGAAGAGCCCCTTCAGCCTGTGTCGATGATGACGTCGACAGACGAAGCGTTGGCCCTGCGGAATGCTTTGGTGGAACGAATGAAACACGATTGAGTCGTGTTGACATGGTGGACGGCAGCGAGTGGAAGTGCATTCACTGCAGCAATGGCCGGAGGGCAGATTCGTTGTTCCGTCCTGCCTTGATTGAGTCGCTAGCGTCTGTCCCCCGTCGGGTTTGGTGGTTTGCGTGGAGGGTCGTGTTGCCCATGTTGGACGACAGCGCGTGGTAGTGCATTCATTGTAGCAATGGCCGGAGGGCAGATTTGTTGTTCCGTCTAGCCTTGATTGGGTTGCTAGGTTCTGTCCTGCTTCTGTGGTCGGTAGTTTGCCTCGAGGGTCGTGGTTCGTTGTCGTCGTGATTCGTGGATGTGCATCTCCATCCATTTTCTTGATTTCTGTGATTGGCGTTGAAGTTGTGTAGTGTGGACACGACGCACTGCGGGTGTGAAGTGCACCTTTTTTCGCACAGCGGGCGCAATTTAGAAGACGGACCAGTGTTCGTCTTTCGGGTGGGGCTGAAACTTGTTCTCCACATGCCTTCGATTTTGAAGTCTCCTCTATGAAGTGTTGAACGATTTCGCGAATCCCTTTTAAAGTTTTTTTCGTCGATTTCCATTGTGTTGGCATTGCGTGTGTGCCTATTTCATTGCGTTCATATTGCGTGTTGCTATTTCATTGCGTTGATGCAGTGTGCCATTGCGTGTTCAGAACGTGTTTTGGCGGACATCTTCTGCTGTATGGTGCGCTGCTCTTTGTCTTACTGCGAGTGTTGAACTGAAACACAAACACGTCTTTTGTTTGGCATTGGGATAACTGGAAAAAATAAAAATAAAAATAAACAAACAAACCAACAACCCACAATGGCACAGGCACATGAAGATGAGATGTGTGAATGTACATCCAACAAGTCAAGGACTACTCGTGTTTCAATAGAAATACCATTCGGTGTGGAGTGCGTGATCAATCATGATCTGCAAATTGACGAAATACAGAAGGAATCAAAATTAGAAAATCAAAGGTGCACCCCAAGCGCAATCAAGTTGTTTCGTCGCAAGCTGCGCTGACAACAACACAAAACAAGATCGCAAAAACCCACTTCGCTCCTACAATGTGCTAAAGAGAGCGCCGTCTACAATCGCTTCTCCACTATCAGCACCGACACACTATCCACATCCACAAGCAATGGCGACCGCTCTTACATAAAGCACCCCTGCCAGAGTGGACGACCGAAAACGTCGGGCGTCTAGAAGCAGGAGCGGCACGCTATACAAGTGCGGAACGAAGGGAGAGCCCATCAAGAATCCGTTTTCCTAACGCGCCGCCACGAAAACTGCATCTCAGACGACGCCAAACACTGCCCCCTCTCCACTTCCCAAACCCGTGCCGGCAAACGCGACCGGTCAGTTACCTTCTCCCGCCCTGCACGTATGAGCCACGTATGAGCAGCAGCAATATCCTCCCCCCCCCCCCCCCCCCCCCCCCCCCCCCCCCCCCCC